ACCCTAAAAAAAAAAAATACATCAGGCAATTCATTCAAATTGTGTTTCTTTTTCCTTATTTGTAGTTGGAGCAGAAATGCATTTGCTTCCTCTCCCTTATGGTTTTTTTTGATAAGCCATCACCTATGAAGCATTATGCTTCTCTGAATGAGTTGGTCTCTAAGGTGACACCCTGCCCTGCCTTCTGCCTGACTTCGCATTAGTACAGTTAACTACCTTTTCCCTACTTTTTTAAAAGTAATTTGAGATCCTTGATGAAAAAAAGTCCCACAGAAGCATTACATGCTCTTATTCAAATTTAAAGTTCTCTTCAAGTGGATGTGTTCAGTTTCAGTGCACCAGAGCTATTAGAGTATATAAAGTCTCGAAGTCCTGACCTAAAGTCCCTGATTCAGAGGGAGTGGGGAGTTTGAGCTCCTCTCTAATGTCCAACAGAATTCAGTTAAGTAAAAAAAGCAAGAAATACACACTCTCTCTCATGAAAACAGCAAGCAGTTAGGTATGTCCTAATGTATATTGTATCAGTCAGTCCCAACACAGAAATCATTCAGTTGCCACAAACAACTTTGGTCCTTCTCTACATAGAGGTCAAGAAATGTTAGATGGAGCTATACTATAAAACATTATAAAATGTTAAAAAGATAATTTTGCCACTCTCCAGTGCTTTAATGAAGTTTAAGCTGCTTTAAAAGAGAGAAACCTCCTGGAGTAAATCTATTTCTGTAACAGTACAGCAGCAACATTTCCAAAGAGATTTGTTAGAGAATATTAGTTTTGCTGATGGCATTCATTCCTAAAAGCCCAGTGCAAAAAAGGAAAAAAGTACTCCTATATACTCTGTATAGCCAGGTATCCCAGAATCAGACTGTCAACAGTTTACAATTTATTACATCAATTTCTTCACTGGGGATTCATCATGCTGTTATTCTTACCAAGTGGCACCACTATGTAGTAGAGTAGAGCCATCATCTCATGACCGATAAACCAGGTATTTATATTAAAAAGGTAAACATTTTAAAAATAATGTAAGATTAGCTTTCTTAACCTGTCTCTGCCTCTTGAATGCAATACATCTACCACAGAATGGGTGAGTGATGGAGAAATAAGGTGCCAAAGTTACTTTCAGTGTGAGGTGATTATTTCTCCTTCTATAATCCTATACCATGTGTATGCCTAAAAGTTCTACTGAGAGAGAGAGATTTTGCAATTGCACAAGGAAGGTTGTTTCTTTTCTTTTGCGTTTCAAATGGGACTTACCACTTCTGTCTGCTAACCCACCATTGATCACCCTGGCAACCATAATTTCACCAGTTACCTCATGGCGTTTAATGGTAGCACCCTGACAAAAAAAGGGAGAAACAACTCTAATCATTTCCATTTATACAAAATTCATAACCGTTCTATTATTTCTGCTCCTATAAAATTCCTTTCATACTGCAAGTCAGATCTCCTTCACTATGACTGGAGACAATTGTAAAACCTTCTTTCTCCCAAATACTGCACAGTATTGCAAGATAGCGCATTATGTTAAAAGATGTGAACCTAATTCATTAAGAGATAAAAACATGATTATTATAAAGCTCGCAGAAAACATATTCCAGACTCTCGCATTCCATCACAGTCTTACAGAAAGCCTTCTATAACATCTTTTCCTTTTCTAAGCCCTGTATTTATCATAAAAGGAATACAATATAGAACTCAGCACATAAAAGCACTTCTCATTTTCCCCCATCCTTCAGGCAAGGAAAAAAAAAAAAAACTTTTTTCAATACACGTTCCATCTCCAAGATGCGTTTGCCAGGTAAAAATAAAAACAAACAGGATTATCGCAATTTCTCTAGTATTACTGAAAAATCCAACTGCACAAGATATGCTATTGAGTCTATTGCACAGGTGTAAATAATGTAACAGAAAGCTTCTTACTAGAGGTTGCTTATTTTTCACTAAGCAAACAATCCTCATAGCTTCCTCATTTTCAGGGATGTTATCTGGCAGAGGTGGAAGGACTGGTTCAAAATCTTTCTGGGCCACAGTATCATGAGCTGACAGTAAGGCCTGTAAGAAGGAAGACACATAAGCCCACCACTAAACAAGTTTAATGATAAGAAAGAAACTGAATTAATTCAGACTCATGGTATGGAACCCTATTTACATTGTTTGAATTTTTTGATGGATAGGACATGGGAGATTTTCCTGATATAGTGGAATTTAATCATAGTGGGCCCTTTATACATGTGCTCTGAAAATGAGCGCTTTAATTAAAGCACTTGGAGTGTTGCGTGTATCAGCATCCCCGTGCTTAAAAATGGTGGCAGAGTCGCTTTAACTAAAGTTCGTTCGACAAGCATTAATGCCCCCGCTGCCATTTTTAAGTGCAGGGACACTGATACACAAGACACTGGAGCACAGCGATTACCACGCTCCAGCAGACTCTATTAATTGAGCTTGCTCCAATGCGCTGTAATTACAAAATGTTGGAGCAGCCTTGCTGCTCATGTATAGGCACCCAGAAAGAGGAATCCTTATGAAGTGCTATAGTAAAAAGGAAACAAAGTCTGTAATTAGTTTAAAAACAAAAAGCACTTCATTTTTAATTAAACATATGCTCTGATTTCTTAGACAGTTTTAAGCCAGTGGTACTTAACCGCTGGCCCTCAAGGCTCCCCACAAGTCCAGAAATTTGGCAGCAGGGTAGTGGGGGCAATTAACACAACCGCTGCTCCCCCGCCACGACCATTTCCAAACTCTGCAGATCAGATGTTGTGGCCCTGTGCAATGGAACCCAATGGCCAAACCAGTCCTGCACACTGGATGGAGCTGGATATGGCCTGTGGACCAACCCTGAACTACTCATTTGACCCACAGGGCTAAAAAGTTGGGCACAGGTCACCACTTACTTTAAACTATACAATAGAGGTGTTCCAATTGTACACAGCTGTTAATAAGAGCAACAACAACTACATACTGTGAATACTGTAGCTATTTAATTCTTTCATAGAGCTAAAACACAGTTAAATCTGTAAATAGTGGAGTGGGGGGTGAAGAAACATTCCACATCTGCAAATTAATAGCTAGTATTGTCTATTAGTTTCTTCTTACAGTAAGCTAATCAAAGTGTCTGCTGCTTCTTTTACTGCCTTCTGAAGACAACTGCAAGTCTCCTGTCCCTCATACTACAGGATTTTCAGCAAAAGATGTTTACACTTCCCTTTCGAGGAAGGATTTGCACTTGCCTTGAAATGCGGAGTTCGTAGAAGTCGTCTCAGCTCTCGGATCTCTGTGGACTGAGGAACTTCACGCAACAACTCCTCAACCTGGTAAAAGTATTTAATACAGCAATATACTAAAAATTTATTTAGTAAGTGATAATGCTTTGTAACTCCAATTACTTGCAATGTGATTAAGTAAATATTCCCTTCTCATGTGCTAGAAGGGAATTCACTAGGGGTGCATACAGATATTCAGAAAGGTTAGGGGGAGGTTAGATAATATTATAAATGGCCACCAGATCTAACTTAGCTCACCCAGGTGCAGACCGTATACTAGATCCCTAGTTAGTAGGGGTGTGTGAAGCTTCAGTCTGTGATTCAATTCAGA